GCAACCAAGGTACATGCCCTTGACCGGAATCGAACCCGGGACCCTTCAGTCCGCAGGCCGACGCTCTATCCGCTGAGCCAAACCGGTTAGGGCCCCTCCCCCACTATTGTCTTTGTCCATGGGTTATGCATATAGGCATATATGTTCTTTGCTTAATCTCTTTCCGCCCCCACTCCCTTCCCTCTGAGAATCCTTAATCTGTTGCATGCTTCCATGTCTCTGGTTCTATTTTGCTCATTAGTTCATTTTGTACATTAGATTCCATATATAAGTTAGATCATGTGGTATTTGTCTTTTTCTGATTGGCTTATTTCGCTTAGCATAATACTCTCCAGGTCCCTTCATGTTGTCTCAAAGGGTAAAAGGTTCTTCTTTTTTATAACTGCATAGTATTCCATTTTGTGAATGCACCACAGCTTTTTTATCCACTTAACTATTGATGGGCACTTGGGTGTTTCCAGATCTTATTGTAAATAACACTTCTGTGAACATAGGGGTGGCATATATTCTTTCTGATTGGTGTTTCAGGCTTTTTAGGATATAGTCCTAGAAGTGGGCAGTTCCATATTTTAATTTTTTGAGGAAACTCCACACTGTTTTCCATAGTGGCTGCACCAGTCTGCATTCCTACCATCAGTTTACTAGGGTTCTTCTCTACATCTTCGCCAGCACTTGTCATTTGATGATTTGTTGATGGTAGCCATTCTGACAGGTGTGAGGTGGTATGTCATTGTCATTTTAATTTGCACCTCCCTGATGATTAGTGACTGAGCATTTTTTGATATATTTCTTGGCCATTCGTATCCCCTCTTTGGAGAAGTCAGGTAAAGAATTCAAGCTCTACTTAATTTTATTTTCATCTTCCTGTGCTCATTAATTTTGTATTTCTATTGTATTCTTTTTATCCTAAGTACTTTTAAAACTATTTTTGATAGCCACCTGAATTCTGAGATTCTAGTGTATTTGTTTTTATATCTACCTATATATAAGATATGAACACCTCTGTCTCTTATTATCATTTATTTGGGTATTTTATTGGTCTAACATATCTTGTCCAATACAGCCACTAGCTCTTTGTAGCTACTTAAATAGGAATGAATGAAAGCTTAATAAAATTTAAAATACAGTTTTTTCATCATACTAGCACATGTCAAGTTCTCAGTATTAACATGTAGCTAAGTGGCTATCATTGGATAGTGCAAATTATAGAATATTTCCCTCATTGTCTAAAGTTCTATTTGATAGTTCTGGTATAGACTGAATGCCAGAAGTTAAAATCCAAGCATATCTCCCAGGGTTTCTTCTAGCTCCTGATCATGTTGAATGATTTTTGTGTTGGTGATTTTGCTATGGTATTAATTTTTCTGTACAACCTAAGAAATTTTTTTTCTTTCTGCCAAATGTTGCTGATCACTTTTGCATAGTTTTATTTCATAGGGAAATTTAAATACATTTACTTCATTTTTTTATTGTTTTATTAAATTTATTGGTGTGACATTGGTTAATAAAGTTATATACGTTTCAAATGTGTAATTCTATGATACATTATCTGTACACTGCATTGTGTGCCCATCACCCAAAGTCAAATCTTGTTTCACCATATACTCAATCCCTCTACCCTTCACTAATCTCCACCCCCACCCCCTTTCCCTCTGGTAACTACCATATGTTGTCTGTATCTATGAGTTTTTGTTTGTTCATTTGTTGCTTTCAGTTTTATATCTCACATATGAGTGAAATCATATAATCCTTGACTTTTTTCTAACTTATTTCGCTTAGCATGATAGTCTCAAGATCATTCATGGCACTATTTTATCTTTTCTTGTTGCTGAGTAGTAACCCATTGTATATATGCACCACATCTTTATCTAATCAGTTATCGAGGGATATTTGGTTGTTTCCATGTCTTGGTCACTGTGAAAATGCTGAACATAGGGGTGCATATATCTTTGCAAATAAATGTTTTAAAATTTTTCAGGTAGATACCCAAAAGAGGGTTGAAGGGTCATGTGGTAAATCTATTCTTAATATTTTGAGGAACCTCTATATAACTGTTTTCCAGAATGCCTGTATCAGTTTACATTCCTACCAGCAATAAATGATGGTTCCTTTTTCTCCACAGCCTCTCCAACACTTGTTATTACTTGTCTTGTTGATAATGGCCACTCTGACAGGTGTGGGGTGGTATTTCATTGTAGAAGCTGAGCATCTTTTCATATATCTATTGGCTATGGTATGTTTTCTTGAAAGATGTGCCTGTTCAGGTCCTCTGCCCATTTTTAATTATATGTTTGTTTTTTGTTGTTGAGTGGTATGAGTTCTCTATATATTTTGGATATTAACCCCTTGTCAGAGCTGTTGTTTTCAAATATCTTCTCCCATTCTGTTGGTTGCCTTTTTGTCTTATTGATGGTTTCTTTTGCTGTACAGAATCTCTTTAGTTTGATATAACCCCATTAAAAAAATTTTTTTTCACTTCCCTTGCCTTTTGGGTCAAATGCTCCAAATCCTCTCTAAGACCAAAGTCCATAACTTTAGTATACCCCTTGTCAGAGCTGTTGTTTTCAAATATCTTCTCCCTTTCTGTTGGTTGCCTTTTTGTCTTATTGATGGTTTCTAGGGGAGAAACAGTAGTTTAGTTTCATTCTTTTGCATGTGGCTTTCCAGTTTTCCTAGCACCATTTATTGAAGAGGCTTTCTTTTCTCCATTGTGCGTTTTGGGCTTCTTTGTTGAAAATTATTTGACCATATACATGTGGATTTATTTTTGGGCTCTCAATTCTATTCCATTGGTCTGTGTGTCTGTTTTTCTGTCAATAGCATGCTGTTTTGAATCTTGTTGCTTTGTAGTATAATTGGCAGTCAGGGAATGTGATATTCCAGCTTTGTTCTTTTTTCTCAGGATTGTGTTGGCTATTCAGGGTAATTTTTGGGTTCATACAAATCTGATGACTTTCTGTTCCGTTTCTTTAGAAAAAAAGACATTGGGATTTTGATGGGAATTGCATTAAATCTATATATTGCTTTGAGTAATATGGCCATTTTAACTATGTTGATTTTTCCAGCCCATGAACATGGGAATATCTTTCTATGTTGTTGTGGCTTTTTCAATCTCTTTTAATAATGCTTTGTAATTTTTAGTATATAGGTTCTTCACACCCTTCAAGTTTATTCCTAGGTATTTTATTATTTTGCAATTGCAAAAAGAATCTTTTTCCTTTCTTTTTCTGAAATGTCATTATTAGCATGTAAGAATGCAATGGATTTTTGTACATTTATTTTGTATCTTTCAACTTTACTGTATTGGTTTATTATTTCTAATAGCTTTTTTGGTGGAATCGTTAGGGTTTTCCATATGAAGAATCATGTCATCTGTAAAAAGTGACAAGTTTACTTTCACATTCCCAATGTAGATGCCTTTTATTTCTTTCTCTTGCCTGATTTCTCTGGCTAGGACTTCCAGTACTGTGTTGAATAAGAGTGATGAGAGTGGACATCCTTATCTTGTTCCTGATCTTAGAGGAAAAGCTTTCAGTTTTTCACCATTGAGTATGATATTAACTAAGGGTTTATCATATAAGGCCTTTATTATGTTGAGGTACTTTCTCTCTATACCCATTTTATTGTTTTAATTATAAATAAGTGTTGTGTCATGTCAGGTGCTTTTTCTGCATCTATTGATATGATCATATAATTTTTATCTTTTATTTTTATCTTTTATTTTAATTTGGTATATCACATTGATTTATTTGCATTTGTTGAACCATCCTGTGTTGAACCATCCTGTGCCTCTGAAATGAACCCCACTTCATTGTGATGTATTATGTTTTTAATGTATCATTGTATTTGATTTGCTAGGGTTTTGTTTACGATTTTTGCATCTGTATTCATCAGATATTGGTCTGTATTTCTCTTTTTTGCATGGGTTATCCTTGCAAGGTTTTGGTAGTAGGGTTATGTTGACCTCATAAAATGAGTTAGGAAGCTTCTTTAAATTTTTGGAAGAGTTTGAGAAGGCTAGGGATCCAGTCTTCTTTGAATGTATGGTAGAATTCACTAATGAAGCCATCTGGTCTTGGGCTTTTGATGTTTTGGGAGTTGTTGTTTGTTTGTTTTTTAAATATTTTTTTCGTTGATTTCAGAGAGAGGAAGGGAGAAAGAGAGATAGAAACATCAATAATGAAGGAGAATCATTGATCGGCTGCCTCTTGCATACACCCCCTATTGGGGATTGAGCCCACAGCCCAGCATATGCCCTCATCAGGAATTGAACCTTGACTTCCTGGTTCATAGGTCAAATCTCGACCACAGTTTTTGGGAGGTTTTTGATGGTTGTTTCAATTTCCTCATTGTTGATTGGTCTGTTTAGATTTTCCAGTTCTTCATGATTCAGTCTAGAAAGGTTATTTATTTATTCAGTCTAGGAAGGTTGGAATTTATACATTTCTTCTAGGTTATTGAATTAGGTGTCATATTCTTTCATAATGTTCTTGAATGATACTTTGTGTATCTGTGGTATCTGTAGTAACTTCTCTTTCTTTTCTAATTTTATGTACTTATCTTTTCTCTATTGAGTATAGCCAGATGTTTGTCAATTTTTTTAATCTTTCAAAGAACTAGCTCTTTGCATTAATATTTTTATATAGTCCTTTAGCTCTCTATTTTATTTAATTCTGCTCTAATTTTTATTATTTCCTTTCTTCTGCT